CAAAAATTATTGCTGGTAATAATTTTTTTTATTATAATGTATTTCTGGTATTAAAACCTATTTTTACACAAGTTTGGGTGTTAACTATTTGCCCATAGCTGGGAACCTAACAGGTGCTACCACCCCGAGTCAGGGTGGACCTCAAAACCTCCTGATCAGAGACCTTGCTGTTGGACATAGTTTATCATCTTACCCAGGACGCGATAACCAAGGCTAAAGCAATAAACTAATGAATTATAAGAACTGAATTGTAATGATAAAACTTTGAATAGAAATTCTTATGTATTAGGTTGTATTCATCATAAGTAATTTCCTTTTCTGGAATCCAGTTGTAATGACGAATGTATGATCCTAACTACTACTCAAACATGGCAGTTAAGAATAAATTTAGGGTACACTAAAATATTACAGTTTTTGCACTGCAGTAACAGCATACACAGTGGATTAAATAATAAATTTCTTAATCCCATTAATAGAATGTTTGAAAGTACATTTATGTCATGTTATGGGTATTCAAGCAAGGGAATAATGCTATGGAGACAGAAAAATATTCTGAGGCATTATCCATTACATCACCCACAAATCCAAGCTTACAGCACCTGGTCACCCATCTAAGTACTAACCAGGTCCGATGTTGCTTAACTTTAATGATCATACAGGAACCAATGTTTCAACTTAATGTGGCCATAAGCAGATAAGATAGTGAAATAATGGTGAATATATAATTGAATAAAATTTAATTGTACTTTATTTTTGAAGAATAAAGATGATAAATACAAATGGAAATTATTTAGAACACAACCTATTAGATTCCTAGAATTCTTTTAGAAAACATTCCAGAGTGTCTTACCTGAATTATTATGTATAAGCACATCCCCATTTTACATTAACTCTCTCCTAATTTGAACACGCAGTGACATAAAATAATATTTATTGCTTTAAATAAAATGTGTAACTCACTGTGATGCATTTCTATCTACAAGTCTGAAAGAAAATGTTTCATATTTGAACACCAACCTTCATTTGCATTTTGGCCTGGAACATGCATGATAACTTCTGATGCCTTCATGGAAGGATAAGGTTTCTTGATTGGTGCTTTGATAAATTCTGTCTCATGTGTTGAGATAGCAGAGATCTTTCGTTTTGAAGCTGGTATAGGTTGAGGTAACTGTAAAGAAAAATTTTTAAAAGATATTTTTTTCACCATTGTATTCCTTTCAGAAAATATAATCTTCATGTTTCCAATGACAGGTTACTTTTTGGCACTTAGTATTCAGTGGTCAGTGTGGTGATTATAATCATTTGTTATTAGGTGGCAATTTGTCCTAGACTTTTGAAAAAATATTTTACAAGCCAAATTATTATAATCCTTCAGATCGAAGGATTCATTTTTTAACTAATTATATTGGTATCAGCAAATTAAGTGCAAATCTGGACCCATGAGCATTCGTCTAAGTTTTTTTATAACCAATAAACTTATTGAGTAAATATAAGTTATCATAAAACCATTACTTATGATTTATATGCTATTAAATAATATGACAATTTTTGTGAGTGCTTCAGTTAATTATTTCAAATTAAACATTTGGAAGTAAGAAATTTCGTTGAGGTTTATACTTAAATCTCTTTCTTTCTCGAGCAGTGTTTCTCAACATTTTACCCTTGTGGAACTCTTGAAATAGTTTCCATGTCTCAGAGAAACCCTGCATAAAAATTATTATATACCATTATTAATATCTATCTTTTATATTTTGACTGTAGTTCCCATAGTAAACATAATATATAGACAGTGTGCATGCATCCTGTACTTGAGTGAGTCACTCAATGATACATGAATCCACCATGTACAGGACCAGTCTGTTAACCGGTGAAGGTAGTTTCACACTGAAGCTTTATAGACATCACTAAATACATTCCTTATGATTATTATACTTTTAAATAATATAAGAGGTTGAAGCCTTTATTATAATAACCAAGGATTTTCCATCAATATGCAGTACATTTATAATATAATTATAAACATAAAATTAAACAAAAATTACTCAAAAATGCATAAACCTATTTAATACGGTTTCTCACAGAACCCTAAGTGACCTCAGGCAGAAAATAGGGTTCTGGGGAACATTGGTTGAGAAAGACTGTTCTAGAATGTTGATGAAAATTAAATTTTGTTGGTGGAGTTTTTCATTTTTGCATTCTTCACCAGACAAATTTAAATCAATATTATGAACACTTTATTTTAAATGATAAGGCCTGTTCAATTTAGTCAAGCTTATTTTTTGCCTAACATTTTAACTCTACAGGAAAATATTCCTCCCTGTACTTCCATAAATTTAGTTTACTTAAAAATTAGAATTAATAAAATTTACTGTCAAATAAATTGTATAACTGTAATACCAACAGTCCAAGAGTAAAAGTATTGGAATTAAAAAAAATAAAAAAAAATAAGACAAACTAAAAATAGGAAAAACAATATTTTCTATATATTGTGATGATATTAATTGTATTACAATAGATTTTTAAGTATAAAATTTTTCAATTAAATTAATTCAATTAAATGAATTAAATTCTGTTGCTGACAAATTTTATTGAAGTAACTGACATATTGATAAATTTAAAATTTTTAATCGAATATTTCATATTCAGAATTTCAGTAATTCATATGTGCTTCTGTAATGATCTTGGCGTGAATAAAATTTGTAAAAGGTAAAGAAACAAAATGTGATAATTTTTTTTTTAATATAAGCTGTAATTTTTCCTAGGAAAGTGAGATATTATATTTTATGACTTAGCATTGAATTTCTTTTTGGTTGTTTTTTTGAGATGATATCAAGTTTTTAATTTCTAACATTAAACAAAAATGACCTAATCACAGCCTTTTAAAATGTCGTGAAATGACTAATAGTAATAGCAACAACAACAACAGCATTAACGTAAAGAAAGTCTGAAAGCGTGTGTGCCGTTTCAGATTTGTAAAGACAACATCAGTTACTTCCCTTCAACTAAAACAAAATAAATAATATCATTTAATGCAAAAAAACAAATCATTTAAATTAATATTATTAACTACAGCTGTGTTATTTCAAACATGTACATTCATGAACGAATATAATATATAAATGAGACAATAGTTGGTTGAAAAGACAAGACAATAACAGAATTAAAATTGTAAGATTGATCAAATTTAATGAATGACGTCTTCTCAGTAGCTGATGAAATTACCTGCGTTTGGGTATATGAACTTGTAATTACTTAGTTTTTAAATTAAATTAAGTTACAGTGAATAACTAAGAATTATTTTGATTTAATCTCAAAGAAGATACACAGATCGGATAATTTTTTTAAATGTTATATTTTTTCAGGATATAGATGATCAAGGTTCTCTAAAGATAACTTTTTCTTTATTATTTGTGAATTGTCATGACTTTTTTTGGGAAAAAAGTGAAGTTGTTTCTTGTTGCCACCTTCAGAGTTTTCCTCCTTCTTGACTGGTTAAAAATTCACATTCTATCCTCCTGTTTAGTCCAGAGTTGGAGGAGGTGGGAAGTAGAGATAGATTTTCAAGCTTTTTCCAAGAACATTGATGCAAAGTGAAGTTAAAAGAATTTAATTTTTTTTTTAATCGGTAAATTCAAGTGAGTGATTGTACTTTTTTTAGTATCAAACTTTTCTCTTCATCAGATTGGAGTGGGGTATTACTAGATAATCACAACCTTGAAAAAAAGAAAGAAAAAGGCATAGATTTTAAAATAGGACAAAAATAAATAAATAAAAATCATTCTTGGTGGTCAAATCTTGGGCTTGTAAAATATTCTGCATACTCAAATGGTGTGAAAAAAAATCAATAATATATTGTTCTTGCTCAGCTGAGGAAAAAAAGTTTTTCATGCTTGTAAAATCCAACATGTGTGGTAAATACTAGCTATATTATCACACATGTACATTTAAGTAAAGTTAATGCTGTTAATGTTTTAAGTCAGAATTAAAATAGAATTGAAGTTGAATCGACATATCAATCCAGATTTTTTAAAAGTAAAAAAATGTCTCTCTCTCTCTCTATATATATATATATATGTGTGTGTGTGTGTGTGTGTGTGTGTGTAAAGACAAAAGGTAAACTTGTCTTAGCTGATGCATTTTGTCCTCTGAGGGACTTATATCAAAGCAAATGCAAGGATTTTATTTTGTAACAAGTATTTATAGACAAGAGCATAAATGTTGTAGTTTTGTCCTTTTACTATCTATAATATTCTATCTGAAATTTTACATATTTTTGTATAGCAGTTTACTCACAAAATAGAGAATTCTATTAAAACATATTTCTTTATGAGCTTCATTTATTTGTCTTGTATGCACTTCCATAAAAGTTAATTAGAAAAAGTTGATTAAATAACAAAATTATAACGGTTCAATTCCTTTGCAGGATAATAAGCATTGCACAGTTGTAAATCCACTATCCCATTTTTGTTTTACTTTCTTGTATTAGCTAAATCACTTTTTTTAATTCTTTAGATATGTGTGGAGAATCACATGTATAAGGTTTAAGGAAAATAGAAACAAAAATGATGCTTATACTTCTAGATATTTCTAGGAAACATAGTGTCAAGAAAGAGACCCTTGGAGAATCTGACATTCACAGGATATATTGAAGGCAGGAGGGACAGAGGAAAATAGCAAGTAACCTACTTAACAAGCTTGTTCAAATGGATGGGATATTGGTTGGTTCATTCATTCATTTTTTTATGGCTTACCAGCCCTTTGCAAGTTATTTAAAGCCAGAAAATATTATTAGATTGTAAGAATGTTTTGGGAGAAGATAATAATAGTTTAGTGATACAAATCTTACTAATTAACCTATAGCTGGGGAGAGAAGAGAAGGATCCTTACCTTTGCCAATGGTATTTGTGTAAGTGAATATAGTAAAACCTACTGGAATTGAAACTTGGCTCTCCAATTAACAATTCTCAATCATTATCCATTACATCATTCACACATCTAAGCTTACAGCACCTGATATTCCCTAGTGGTCACCCAACTAGGTACTGACCAGGTTCAACATTGCTTAACATTGGTGATCTTACAGGGACTGATGTTTTAATGTGATGTGGCCATAAGCCTGGCTGGGAGATTGGGAGAGATAATGAAATGACAAACCTTACTAAGTGCTACATTGTATAAGAAGTTATGGAGAGCTATGATCGTCCACATTCTGAAGGGACACAGTACATAGAAGAAGAAGAAGAGATATGTGTGTGTTTTGTACATTAGGTATAGTCATGTTTCTCCTTTCAAAATTACAAGTAAATCAAATTTTAATCACAGTACACAAATTTTAATAAGCAGTTTTGAAGGATTAGACCAACCAGTCAGATACTAGTAAATATATATTTTCATATGTGTATAAATAATAGGGCAAAAAATTATGTCACTTAGTATCCTTCATAGTTTACCTTTCCTTTACACAGTAAGTTTTTAAAATATTCTCTAATTCAAAATTTGAAAACTAAAATGTTATCTTCCTCCACTTGTGTGTATAAATACAAGTTATTAATAAAATTTCCACACTTGCCTTGGCAAAGTCCTCAAGGAATGAAACGTGTTGGTATAAAAGATTTTCCTCTTGATTTTTATATAAGTGTATACACAAAGTCTGTCTTGACATTTGGTTCACAGTAACTGAGTAGATTCTTTAGATCTCAGGCAGGGTCTTTTGATTTTGTACCCAAAACATTACATCCCCCCACCACACTCCAGATTTCATTCCTTGGTACTTCTGTCTTTTCCCAAAGCAAAAAACTACAGGCAAGATTAAGGAGAACACCACCAGGTAGTTGATGATGATCCCAAAACGATTTTACAGGCCTGTTTTGAAAAGCTGAAGGTACATTGAGATAAGTGTGTAAGGTCCCAAGAGGAGTACTCTGAAGGGGAAAAATGCCATTACCCTAGAGAAGTTTTTTTTTTTTTTTTAATAATAACAAACAAAAGGATTATTTCCAAAATCAGGTATACATTTCTAATTAGGATATGACAAAGAAAAGATTGGTGATATCTTGAATATGGTACAGGAATTTTCAGACAAATGTCTGAGATAAGAACACAGATCAAATGACTTTGTCAGTTCAACAACCATTTTGTTCATCTTTTGTTATTCTCTTGCAGTAGGGTCTGGTGTTGGGCTATATATCAAGATTCTTGACAAAATCTAAAGAAGGATTCGTAATGTTATTGGTCTTGACCTGGTATCTCCATTTCAGTCACTTTCTCATAGACATAATGTGGCTTCCCTCTGTCATTTCTATAAATATGTTTTATGTCAGTTCTTCTAATAATTTCTACTCCTTGGTACCTCAACTTTGTGAATTTAACTGTACAACTAGATTGGCAACTAGGTCTCATTGTTTTACTGTTGAAACAGCTAGATGTATCAATAGTTTCTATTCTAAAAATTCCTTTTCTTACACTTCTCACCTTTGGAACTCTCTTCTGGTTTCTTGCTTCCCTGCTACCTACAATTTTCAAAAATTTAAATGCAATATCAAATGCCATCTTCTGTCAGAAGACAGTTCTTTTATTGTCCTTTCTCCTTGTTAAAGTCTCCTCATTCTCTTCCACTCCCAGTAACCACTTGCATCTTAGTGGCATTATTGCCTTGCTTGAGGTGAAAGGATTAAAAAAAAAATACTTTTTTTTGTCTGATTCATTCTCCAACCATCACCAAGTGTGCATTCTAGCAAGTAAATTTCTCAGGAGTGTGAATTAGAGCTTTTCATTGGAGTAACATGTTCTCATCTGATTGATAAAAGTCCTGAATCCTTACACAGAAAATTAAAACTAATCTTTAGACTCTAATGTTAGGGTCAAAATGATAAATCAAAAAATTTAATAAATTTAAAAATCAATCATTAGATCATATATGATTAATTTCAGACATATAAAACCTTAAAAAATCCAACCTTAAACTAAGACACGAGTTGACATTTTTAAAAATCTTTTTTAGTCCAAGAAAATTTACTATAATCTTTTATTATCTTTTTTGGTAGTTCTATAAATATAAAAACATTGGTGTAAATCTAGCTTCTAAGAAATTGAAGGTAAAAAAATATATAAAAAATCAAAAGTCTGAGGAAGAAAGAAAAATAGAATTTTTTTTTTCTTTATTTTGTAATCTTTTTTTTTTTTTTTGTGATTAATTTGTCCTGATGATATGGACCTTGATCTTTTGTTGGAATAGACAGGAATAGAGGGTAGAATTGTTTTTTTTTTTTATTTGCAAGCTAATTCCAAATTTATTCTTGATGAATGAAACATTTGACAAATGGGGAAATCTTCCTCACCCCCATAAAATAAAATAAAAAAAATGTGTGAAGTATTCTTTGTTTTGTCTAGTCTAGATTAATTAAATTGTGTGTACCATAATTTGGTTTAAAAAAAAAAAGGAATAGAAAGAAACAAATTTTTCCTTTTATTTTTCATTTTTTTACCTAAAATTCTTTTATGTCAATAAAAAGAACATGAAACTGCATAAGGGAAGAAATATACAACTTGAAAAAATGCAAATGTCATTTTTAATTCCGAGAAGAAATTTTATACAAGGAAATACAGTGTGGCAGAAATAACTCCCACATAATGGCAAGAAATTAGCTAGATGTCTTACCATTATGTGGTAGTTAAAAGAGAATAATTCTGGCACACTGATATTTACATGGGTCACAAGACAGGGATTATTTTTTGACTTTGTACAATTTTTGTTTTCTCTTATGTATGAGAATAAAGAACTTCATGCAGTATTTCTTTTTTGAATCATCTCACCCCTAGAAAAGCAATAAGAGCCACTAGGATGCAAGGTGTTACCGAGAATGAAAGAACATGAGAGGACAACAAAAGAACAGGATTCAAATTTTTGAAGACTGTAATTGACAGGAACAGAGTTTCACAATTTATAGGAATAGATAGGTTTGCATATCATTTGGTTCACAATCCTCTCTGGTCTTTTGAAAAGGAGTAGACGTTTATCCTTGTTTCATGTTTAAGATTGGGTTTCTGGTTCCTTCTAAAGTCTATTTTAACTCTATACTTCTGATATCTCCAACTGATCTCTGAAACTTTATTTACAAACTTTGAAACTTTCTAGCAATTGTAGTATTTTTTTTACAGGGTTTTATTTTAACAAAAGACAAAGAAAAAAAACTATCAAAGCAAGGAGGTACTAGAAATTTTAAAATGTTCTTGCTGCTCACCATGTTGGCAGCCTTTGATAACTTAAAGCTAAATTCTAAACTTTTTGGGCCCCACCAAACATTTGTCTCTACTATGGCCCTGTTTACTATTTATTTTTTTTAATTAATCTTTCTTCAACAAGAGCAGATAGGTTTTCCAATCATCCAATTTACACTCCTCACTGATCTTTTGGTTTATCCATTGTTTACTGTTTAGGATTGGGTTTCCAGTTCCTTCTGAAGTTCTCATTCTCTTTCACTCCCAGTAGCCTGTTGCATCTTAGCATTATTGCCTTTCTTGGGGTGTCTTGATTAAAAAAAAAAGTGAGAAGTGTGAGAGAAGAAACAATATAAGCATATAACTTAAAATTTCAGCAGTAAAATGATGGGACTTAGCTGCCAATCAAGTACTGCACATAAATTCATGAAGTACCAGAAAAGAAAGATTATCACAATAATATTTATAGAAGCGGTAAAGGGAAGCTATGTTATAGTGATAAGAAACTGACTGAAGCCGAGATGTTGGGACGGATCATGTTGCCAATTCTTCTGTGGATTTTGTTAAAAATATCTAGATACACAGCAGAAGCATCAGACCAGATATGGCAGCAATACTCAATACATGGATGAATTCTGGTGAGAGAAATTGTCTCACATGATATAGTAAATCAACTTTCCTAGTAGAGGTGATTCAATATAATCATTCCACTTCATGTCATTGAAAAATGTGAGATCAAGAAAGCACAGTGAGTTGCTTTCATTGAGGTTAGCATCAGCCATATTGATTGAAGGCAAAAAAAAAAGTTCATTAAGATTATTAATTTCTCTCAATATAGCAAAATATTTGGGACATCATATACTATAAAGAAATTATAAAGATTAAAGACAAAATTGAAACAGCAAGGAAAAAAAAACACTGATTCTGTCTTTAAATGTAAATAAAGTGTGAAGACACAGTGATGAAATGAATGAAGACAAAAATTGATATCTAAGCTTCAGCATTGTAAGTTTTCCATTCAATTGGATGAATCAGCTTTTGGTAGTTCATACATTCTCATGGCTTATGTGTTTAGTCAAACTCAAAACATCATTTTGTTTGCATATTATCTGAAATATAAGGCAAAAGAACTGAAGATTTTTGAATGCGAGGAGAAATATCTAAATAAGTACAAGAATGCTGAGAATACCATAGACTGAATATGTGAGCAATGATGAAGTTTTAGAGAAAAGGAAACACAATAGACATTTATTTATATTTAACAGCAAAAAGAGACAGCTGAAATTTCTAAAACACAGAATAAAGAAAGAGGGCTTGGAAAATTTGACACTCACAAGACATACTGAAGGCAAGAAGGACAGAGAGAAACTGAGCACAACCTTTCTAGCGATCTTGTGTAAATGGTTATGAGAACAGGATTAGGATAGATAGCAAAATGATAAAATTTACTAAGTGCTACAAAGGACTGGAAATTATGGAGAGCCATGATCACCTATGCCCTGAAGACACACAGCACATAGAAGAATATGATTCCACTTTGCAAGATAAATGCAGTTTAGCTTCAATGGTTGTGCATTACAGAGAACTCACTACCTTCCTTAAGGAAAAGCACCCAATGTGCACTATTCATTGTGTATTACACTGGTGCCATCTTGCAGCAAAAAAAAAAACCCCAAAAAACTCTGTGACAAATTGCATGATACTCTACAGGTGTGCATCAGATCAAGAAATAAAATTGAAGCACATCCACTTATTTTGCAGCTCTTTGGGAAGCTGCTTGAAAAAGTGGTAAACCTGTTACTTGTTAAATACTGAAGTAAGATGGCTATCAAAATGTGTTAGCATACAAAGGCTTGTCAAATTGTATGACTCAACTATTGAGTTGCTTACATGTG